TTATTCTTCATATGTAATTTAAAAGCAAACTTTTTTTTATAAAAACTTCAATTGAATTTTAATAAAGTTAAAGGCATAGTCTTACTGTTAATATTTAAAAAAAATAAAAAATATTGTATAATAGATATAAAACTAGATAGATTGCAGAAATTTAAATAAAAATTTAAAAAACAAAATCTATTAATTAAATATTTATTAAGACAAAAATTTTAAAATGTTTATAGAACAATTAATCTAAAAAATAAAAAATTTATATAATCAGATAGAAAACAAGAAACAAGAATTATTTATATATAGGTTGCAAAAAATTATATATGAGTTGCAAAAGAACTTGTTAAGAAGTTTTTAAATACAGAAATTCAAGAAATAAATATTTGAACAAATAGTAATCATGAAGCAATTATGATAAAAATGAATTTGAATTATCTAATTGTAGTATACAAAAAAGTAAAGAGAATTATTAAAAAATAGTATTATTATATAAAAAACAATAAAAAAAAATTAGAACAATTACAGAAATGAACTTGAAATACAACTTTAAAAAAAAATTATTTTAGTAAAATTATAATAGGTTTTAGAAAAATAATTATTCAATAATAAAGCTAAAAGATTAGACAAGTAGTAAGATATTATAAGTTATATTATATAGATAATAGCAAAAAAATACTATTTAAAAAATAAATTCTAAACATAGCAGCAAACAAAAAGAAGAGAACAAAAGAATCAAAGTTAGAAAAAACATTTATATAATTAGAAAAATAGATTAGTTTTAAAAAAAAAATATTAAAATAAGATGATTAAAAGAAAATATAAAAAAACTAAATAAAAAAATTAAATATATAAACTAAAAACTGGCAAATTACTAATTCTTTTTAATGATCACTTGTACCAAATTCTCTTTAAACAAAATTATACTTTTCTTAAATTATTATTAAATAAACCTATCTTGGCTATTTAAATAAAATTGTTTTTTATAAAATTTTACATATAGTTAGCCTATTTTTATATCTTTAAAAGTATTTTTTACTAAGATATAACTAAATTAAATAAATTTCATTTTTCATTAAATCTTTATTATTTTACTAAGGAAAACATAGTAGTTATTTAAAACAAAAAGATTTAGTACACTTTTATCTTTATTTTGATATATTATACTTTTTATAAAGTTAAAAACTAACAGATTTAAAATAAAATACATTAAAACTCTTTTACAAAATTTTTTTAAAAATTTTGTAAAAAATTTTTTCTTTTTTTAGAGAAACCTTGATCTTCTAAAGCATCTCAAATCTGTAGATCACTCTTACTAATTAATATTACTAATTAATTTATAAAAACCTAACTTTGTTTTATTTATTTTTAAACAAAACTTAATATTACTAATTTAGTCTTAACAAATTTATACAAATTCTTGCTTTACATTAATCATATTAATTACTTAGATGTTATACCAAATGTTATCTTAAACATTATATCTTTTTATTTGTTACTATTCTTATTTGTTACAACTTTTATTTGGCACAACTTTTATTTGTTACATTTTATTACTAAAAATAATTTAAAAAAATGTCTATTTTAACTAACACTTAAGAATTAGATTTTTATAATATAAATTACTATTATTCTAAATACAAAGATCATTACAGAGTTGAACTTCAAGAATCTTAACTTTAAGCTTTAAGAGTTTTTCTATTAGCAGCTAAACCAAACTATTGCAATGACAAAAAACAATAATATTATTTCAAAGTTCTGTTACAATCTACAATTGCAACCTGCCTTTATAGCAAATTTCATACAAGTTTTATTTCTTAATATTATAAAATTAGTTACTCAATTACAATTAATCAGCCTTTAAATCCAATTCAAACTCAAATTAGAAATACTATTTCTATACAAAATTTTAAAATAACAGAAGAATTACTAGTCTTTCTAGTTCCCAAATCAACTAATTAAGCATAATTCTTTTCTTCTTTAACAGCACATATTCTTTTTAAACAGACCCAACCCTTACAGCTATAATTGCATATTTACAATACTATTATACTTGTTTTTTTTGTAAACTTAAAAATATTCAATGTGTTTTTACTAACAGTCAACAAAATTATGCTTCAGATTATACAATAACATGCATCTTTAAAAACTTTTTAATTCATTGTACTTATATACTACATATTCTAAATTTTAAACTTAAACTTAAACTGACTAAGCCAATAACTTTATTTAATTATGATCAAAAAAAAGTAATTATTTTCTACAAACTTAGCATTATATTTGTAAAAAACAAAATCCAACTATACAAATCTATTTTTTCAAAAAAACCAAACTCTCAACATTTCATCAAAGAGCAAAAACAAAAATAAACTCCTAAAGATGTTTCTAATAACCTCAATTGTTTAAAGAATTTCCAATTACTGAAGAAATAAAATATTATACTAAACTTGACAACAAATTAACTTTACAAATACTCAAATTTATTAAACCATATTTTATTAATGTATATTCTGAAAAAATTATTAAACAAGTAACTGAAAATAAACTAGTATTCAAATTTAATTATATGTATCTAATTAAAACTTTAGCTGATCAATGCTTTAAATTTTTTACAAACTTTATTTATAAAAATAACCCTTTTATAAACCAATTTTTTGCTATTTTTTTTGAACTTATTTACTCTATTTTTATTATATTACTTAAAAAATTTACTACTATACTTTTTACTCACTTTAATTATCTTAAAATCTTTACTTTCTATAACTTGATTTCATCTTATACTACTTCAAATAGAATTTAAGTTGCATTAAACTTAGCATATTTACATCTTATTCTTTATAACAAATATAAAATTATTAATATAAAAAAAATTTGTGAAGTTCTTAAACTTTACCTAATATATTTCAAACTTCATTATTATATTAATAAGAATAGTATTAACTAACTTTTTTTTAAAATTCAGAACAATAATAAATTTAACATCAATATATTTCTTAACATCTCAAAATAACAATTCCTTCAAACATTTCAAATTTTATCTTTTAAAAATTATTTAACAAAATTTAAAACATAATTTAATATTTTTTTGATATTTATAAATAACAATTTACTCAAATTAATAAACAAAATATCTTTAATTTTATTAAATATTAAATTGTTCTTAAACTCTTTAAAATTTATAAAGCCTTTTTACTTTAATAATTTACTATTACTTTTATTAATTTACTATGTAAATACTTACAACTTTGTTTTAAAGTAGCACTTTATCATATGGGGGAATGTCAGTAAAAACTAAGCAATTCATTTTTAGTGTGTTTTTTTAAAAATTTAAATTAAAATATCTCAACAACTATTAAACCAAACTTGGTAAATTTTTTATTTATTTTAATTCTATAACTATATAGAATTAAAATAAAAAAAATTTATCAAGTTTGGTTTAATAATTGTTGAGATACTTTGCTTTAAAGTTTTAAAAAAATTTACTTAGAAACAAATTGCTTGGTTTCTACTGGCACCCCCTCATTTTTTCACTAGCAACTAATCAAATAAAATGTAGTAACATAAAAAATCTCCGATTAGGTTATACGTTAGTTTTAATCAATGAGATCACATTTGGATCCAGTTGAAGTTCTAGTCTTCCAGTAACAACACTACATAAATACAATTGTAAGCAATTGATCAATCAGAAGAAAGTTATTCTAACAAAACAAACGCGAAAACATAAGAAATTGTAAAAAAAAAAAAAAACGTAAATAACGCAAAAATTTACTATAACAAATTTCCGACCTCTAAATAAAAGTCTTCAGAATGAAATTTACTCATATAACACAATTGTTAATGTTAGTTATATGGGAAGTTTTTATTTTTTGGGCGGCAGCTCAGGATTTTCTTGACATAAGGATACCCCATGTATAAGTTCCAATACAGTAATTCAAGTCTCGTAAATTTTGCCTATAGAAATTAATATTATGCGTTTTCTATTGCTATTTATACTTGTATAGATGTGTATATGATTTATACAATTGACTAGTTGCAATTTGTAAAGTATAAGTGCTATCTAAAACCGTTTCTATTGACCAAATATTTAACGGAAGAAAATTACTTTCCTTCAACTAATAATGTTATTTTCTATCTATTAATTTAACATATTCGTAATCTTTGATGTCAATATCGAACTTAAAAGTCCAGGTAAAGTATAGTTTACACAATAAAACAATTTGATTATGTTTGTACAATGTCCTCTTTTTTGGGTTTCGGAACTTTTTCTTCTTGAGACTCCGGCTTTTTTTCTACCAACACTCCTAAACCCTCTCCTTCAGAGCATAATTCATAAATATGGTCTAAAAATACCAATCCATCACCGTCTGCGTCCAATTTTTTCACAATCTTTTTAATCCTTTCATTATCTCCAGGCGTGTGTTTAATAATTCTAAGCGCTTCCGCTAAATCATTAACACTTATTTGCCCGCTCTCGTTTGCTTGAATTAGATTTAATTTCGAACCAACTTCACTGTCATACTGTTCCAATTCCTTGTCAATTCTTCGGATCATTTTTTCTAAGCGTGATCCAAGACGATTTGATACGGCGGATTCTTTATGCTTACCAGTTTCCTTTAACCCTTGCATATCCTAAGATATACTTAATAATTAATCATTTTTCTTTAGGTGGAATTTTCTCGGTCGCAGAAGTGGGAACAAACCTCTTTATATTCCGCTCGGTCCTCCTTAATTTCATTTAATGCTTCCCTTTCTTCTAAAACAGCTGACTTAGAAGAAAGGATTGCTAGTGCAGCACGTAGTTCTTGAAGTTGCTGTTCAGTCATGCGAACATCTTCCTCTTCAGGAGCCTATAAACAAGAGATATTAAATTGATAAAATATAATTGATAAGAACTAGAATTTAAAGATTTATTTCCAAAAGTTACTTGAATTTCACTGGGCATTTGTTCGCTAAGAGCCGCCGTTGCCTCTTTGGCAGCTTCTTCTGCTGCCTTTTGGGCGCGTTTTGCCGCTTCCTCTGCTTCCTTCTGAGCGCGTCTTGCCGCTTCCTCTTTCTAACAATTCAGAACAATTTAGAGATTGATTTTATAATTTGCTATCAGATAATGACTATACCTCTTCTTGAGCCTTTTCATCAGCGATCAACTCCTCTTGCTCCTCAATGACTTCGAGTTTTTGTTTATAAGTGGCAGTTCCCTTATCTTCAGAAAATTGCAACTCTGCTTCATTAACCTAATGGGAATAGTAATAATTTAATTTTATATTAAAGAAATTTAGTATAAAGTAAAAGAACTTACAAGGTTATCTGGCAAACTAGATAAAGTAGCTTGTAGTGCCTCTGCTTGATTTGTTAATTCTGGCCGATCAACTAAACTGAAGGCACGTGATAGAATTAAAAGAGTAGAAGGAACTTTGTGGTTTAGGTGAAGGTCAAGCCATTGTTGGAGTTCACTACGTAACCGTGTAGGAGAAACACCTATAGTACGAATACCACGTGACTGGCATGCATGTTGAAGCTCCGGAATGGTTAATGAATCGACACCTTCAGCCATTATCATCTGAAATTTAAAGAAAAAGTTAATATATTTTATTACCACACGCCATCAGTAGCATAAAATAGAATAAACCATATACTTTATCATCCTCTTGAATAGCTGTCATCCTATTTCTTATTTGATATTTCAAGAAATTGTCTGTACCGAAAGCATTTATATTCATATAACGGCACATGCTAACCAGTTGAGGACGCGATAAATTATCTAATGTCAGTTCATCTTCAAACACTTTAGCTATTCGAAGCAAAACTTCAGTGCTAGCCTGTTCTCCTGTTGTTCGAATCTATTTTGATATACAACAATATTAGTTTAAAATTAATAATTAACAAACCTAATCATGTCATCATACCTTACGAAAGTACTCTGTAAATTCTTTTGCAGCCTCGTTACGATTTTGTCCAGATAAAGCGGCTTCAGCAATTGTTTCCTGTAAAAATTTGGCCATCTCCAAACGGACTTTGAGTAATTTTCTTTTTTTCTCTTCCTACGCAATGTGAAATTAGTCAAATTACCGAATTATGCATTAAATTTTATTTAGCATAAAAAAAAATATTACCTTCGCAAATTTATCTTCAAAGGTGCTAGGTAGCATATTTGGAAACAACTTAAGTGCTACTGGCAGTAAGAATTCCATGAACGGAACAATGAGAAAAACCCCAAATGGAACTAGACGAACGAGATCTTGGGTAGTCCTTTTAAGCTAAGTTCAAAAACCATATCATACTTATTAGGAAAAAGTCGGAATGAGTATTTGAAATTAGTATCACTACATACTTGTCGGTATTCTCGCCGAGTTAATTTTTGACCTTTTAAGAGTTTGTATAGCAACTTGGTAGAGATCTTAATTTCTAAACCTAAAAGTTTTGTTCCCTGCCAATAATGCACCAATTCGTCTTTGATCCGAGTAATTAATGGCTTTTTTTTGACAATGGCATCGGAGGATTTGTCTATAACAGCATCCTCTTTCGCGACTTGCACTGCTTCGTGTATAGTTGTCCCTTTTTCCGGAATTTCTGTTATCGACTTTTTTGAAACTTGTGCATTTCGAAGAAGCCGTAATTCCTTTGATAAACTAAGGGGGCTTTTACTGGAAAAATATGAAGTTTGTGATATGCTTGTTTGAGTTGTTAGCCGAAACCTATGGGTTTCACCACTGGCGAAAGGCGAAACTGGTTTCGACTTTCGACAAAAAAAAATTAAAATGCTGAAATGGCGAAACTGGCGAAAGGTGGCGAAAGGTGGCGAAACTGGCGAAAAGTGACGAAACTGGCGAAGGGTGACGAATCTAGTAAAAGTAATAAAAAGAAGTTGAAGCTCTTTCATGTAATCATCGACTTTTCTATTCCTACTTGTTCAGCTTTAAATTGTCATATAAAAATCACGCATGTACGTACCTGACATCACACATCACTTGTGTATTTGCAGCAATGCGCATATTTCCGCAATCAGAATTTTCTATAATCGTTAATTGTTTTATTAGTTATATGCAATACAAATAATTTTTAAGCTTACCTATGAATCAACTAGGTCATCTAATAGAAATCCGACTATTTTTATCTGATTAATGTTTTTTGATATCAAACAAAATTGTGCAATACAGGATTAGATAAAAAGTAATATGATTTCAGTATAAATATAAATAAAATAATGATTCTAACCAACATTTATATTAAAATAATATTAATTGTATATAAGGCCGCTTACAGTTGATTCTTCAATTAACATCAATATAGATTTATATATTTTTTTGATTTTATTTTTTTTCTAATCGAATTTTTTTACACAGATGGATTGATAATCACTGATCGTCAAAGACAGTAGCGAAAGACTAATCGAAAAAATTTGCAAGAAACGAGAAATAACGAGCCACTTACTATTTATGCTTGTATAAATTGCACGAATGTGGACAAATTAACGTTAAAACTTGATCAGCCGATTAATTAATAAAACCACTAAAATAAGTAGTGATGTAATTCGCAGGGTCCGAACATTACAGAAGCCAACGGTCATCCGTCGATCTTCGCAGAACGATAACACTGGCCTTAGAGATGTGAGGTATCCTTAAGGTGTCAGGATGCGAGGAAGGTAAAAAAAAAAATTAAAAAAAATAAGTGGTAATCATTTATACAATATAGGTAGGAACGTTCCAAATATGGAATGATAATCTAATCGTTACACAATTGATAAATAATTTTTTTTATATGGTTTACAATACTTTTTTAAGTAATCTTAACTTTCTAAAAAAATGAATAAAATATATATTACTTATTTTTTGAATCCTCGTTATCTGGTTGGTTAATTTGTTAAAATTTTTATTATAATTGGTGATAATTATGTGTAATCATATTGGGAATCATTTCCATATTTGGAAAACGTTTATGAATCAATTAATAATTTGTTTAATTAACTTTAAGATTAAAACGTCTTTAAAACAGAGTTATATTAAAGTTAGAAACATTTATATAAATAAAGGATAATGTTATTTATATCATTATTTTTGTTATTTACACCATGCTAAATGCTAAAATTTTATTTATTTTTTTTAATAAATTTGTTTTTTTAGTTGTAAGTTTTGGTTAAAAAATTATTAATTTATTTTTTAGTTAAAAATTAGAATACCAATTTAGATAAATTTGTTATTCATTTATCTATATCTAAATTTATTTAGATATTTATTTATTATTAGTATTTGGAATCCTATTGCATTGATTTTTCTAACTAAAAAAAAAATTATTATTATATCTCTTCAAAGTTCTAACAATCATAATACTTCTCAACAAATATAGCAAACCAAATATCATAAGAGATTATATATATACAAATTGTACTTGCTCATGTCTATATAAAATAGTAAATCAATTACATTTATATTCTAATATTTGTTTATTAATTAGACAAGCTATTAGAAAAATCAATATATAATCAGCATTTTGGATTAATTATAGTATATTTTATAATTATATTTTAATATTATAAATCTAAATAGGTTTTGATCACTCTAGTTGCAGATAAAACTGTCTGAGTTTTAATTTTTATATATAGTTTTTATTTTGTAATTTACAATCTTAGTATATTTTAATATATAGTATATTAATATATACAATTAAAATTACTAATAAAAATATAAACAAAGTTTTATTTTAATACAAAAAAAAATTATTAGTATCTAGATAATATTTAAATAATTATTTAAATATCAATAATAAAATAAATATTTGAATAAATTTAAATCTAAATATTTAATAAATAAATAAATAATAAATTAATATTTTATTAAAAATTTTAAATATTATAATTATAAAAAAATAGGATATGGCAACCTAATGAAGTGGATAGGTTGTCAACTCTTAAGTAGCAGGTCTAAGATTCAATTCTCATAGATGATAAATTTTAAAAATTATACCTGTATTATGGTAACTGTCTCTTGCTAATTAGTTGGGTTTTGGGCATCTGTAATCTTAGATACATCAAGTTAGATTCTACCTGACATTGGGAGCTCAGAGCATCTATGTGAAATATAATATTATATATATATAAAGAAATGTGAAAAACTAGTATCATATAAGACTTCAGTACAAACTCATAATAAGACCACTAGGTATAAAAGACTAAGAAACTAAGGAAATGAAAATTCATTTAGAAATCCTAAATAAAGAGGTAGTACAAACTTTTGATAATGTCATTAGACTAATGAAAACTCATAAAACACCTTTATAAGAACTGTCAGATAATCAAATGACAAGATGTATAAAAGAGCATATGACCAACTAGACTATTAGAATCATTTAAGAAAAAGAATATATAAGTATACTATATTAGGCCATCTGAATTAGAAGTCTGGAAAGTTAGTTAGTTCTGAGTTGTGACTAGTAGAAGATAATAAAAAAAAAGTTAAAAAGATAAGTACCAAGTTTTGAATAAACTTTACAAGAATAATAGCAATTTAATAAGTAACTCTGACTACAAATGTTAGTCTTGGCTATAATGTTAAACTAGGTTAGCAGTAAAAGAGAATATGGTTTGCTCTGGTAGGTTTATCTCAAGAATAAAAATAGTCTAATAATTATAATCCTATAGTTAAAAGTAAATAAATCTGAATCTGTGATCTGATAAAATTAATATTAGAATCAGATCAGAGAATTTAAATAGAACAACTAAGCAGAAGTGTTAAATATGGCAACTGATAAGAAATCTTCAAGTAAACTTTTTAAATAAGTAATATAAAAAAGTTATACATATAGCTAGTTGTATACTTAACTGATAGTTCAATATGGATATGTCTATATAAATATGTACTTGATATAAGTATTAATAAAAAACTAGAACCAAAGAGGTCACCTTAATACTGTAATATATTTTTTTTTTTTAATTTTAAGTAGTTACACTAGTACTTTATTAAAATTCTTGAAACTATATATTTATACAATTACATAGAATTTCTTAATATCTAAGTCTAGCATCACTTAGCCATCCTAATAGTACTTAAGTGCAATCTGCCATACTATCTTAGTTAGAGATAGACTGCTTATCTAACTACTGTTAATTTGTAGTTTTTTTTTTAATCACAATAATAACAGAAGCTGCTCAACTATAGTATGATGACTATAACT